CAAAGGTCTGTGTATTTATTTATATGTTATAGGTAGGATGGTAGGGTATAAGTTATTTAAAGATATATAGACTCAGTCCTGTTTTGGGAAGAAAACAGGATTAAGAACTGGGAAAAAATGTTGAGAACTTAGAAATGATTTTCTTCCAAGGGTATGTTACATAGAATTCATATTAGAAGATTTAGTTTAGATAACAGCAATTATCATCATAAAATAATCCATGTGAAGTATGATAGAAAAGCTGGTTGTCCCCAAACTTGCTCAATTTCTGTTATTATTGATTGAATGTTATAACGTCTTTTGCTATAATATGAACGTCTCCCCCAAATCCATGTTTCCATCCTAACTCCCAATGTGATAGTAAGAGGTAAGCCCTATGAAGATTACATCCCGAAGGTGAACCTTCCTTTGTGATTAGTGGAAACTCATTCATCCCTTCCATCATGTGAGCTGAATCTCCTGGTACTTTGGACTTAGACTGTCGAATATCCAGATTTGTAAGAAATAAATTTCTATTGTTTATATATAGGTTAAAATTTGTAGGATTTTGTTATAATAGGCCAGACTAAGACACACTTCTAAAATTTGACATAAATGATTCTTTTGTTGTTGCTGCTGCTGCTGTTGTTTTGAGATGGTCTCTTGGCATTCACTGTAGACAAGGCTGGCCTGAAACTTGGAATGATCCTCCTGCCTTTGCTTCCTGAGTGCTGGGATTATGGGCAGGCACGACGACATGTGGCATACATGATCACCTTTAAAATTGGAGTACATTAATTTTAACATTTTTCTATGATGCCCTCATTAACTCCCTTAAAATACTGTAAACACCATAGTCTATCATAAAGTCCATATTGGAAATTACCAGAATATAAAATCTGAATTTAAAAAATCACATTCAGTAAATTCTTTAGCCATGTCAAATTTGTGGGCTGCTGATTCTGAAGGGTCTGTATGCTAACTGCATTAAAGTAACACAGCCTGATGGAAAAGTTGAGGAAAGGGAGCTAGAGGTTAGTGACAGACTTTTGCATCCTTGGATTTATTTAAAACTCATTACAAATAGATACGCTACAGTTTCAAACTAACAAAGACGTTTCTTAAGCATTTCAAATGTATAGTTGTTCCCCAAACCACTAATAAAGATGAACACAGCCGAGGAGGTGAGCAGATTAACAAGCCTGGAATGGTTAAAGAGGAATAAACAACAGACAGCTACTTTGAATTCAGTGCTGTTTTTCTTAAGCCAGAACTCTAAATGTGTACTTTAAAGTCAATAAATTTAGAATCTATTTTTTTTAATCCAGAACACTGTGTCCAATGTTTATCACTCTAATTCTGATTACTTATGTAAAACAAAATGGAACAAAATTTTCAGTAATGTTAAGATCAATACAACAGCGCCACCAAGTGAATGTACTGAACATACCAAAGCATTACTGAGATTTTCCATGTTAAATTTTAGGGTATGTTCAGTGTGCCTATGCTTCAGCTAAGTACATGAAATTATGTGTTATATTACCAGCTATATTTTACCTATTCAAAATTAAATATGTAAAGGACATTATAACAATGGGAATAAAGAGTTTTATATATTGGGGTGCTGAAGAGATGGCTCAGAGGTCAAGAGCACTGCTGCTCTTGCGGAGAACTTGGGTTTGGTTCCCAGCACCCACATGGCAGCTAACAGCTGTCCATAACTTCAGTTCAAGAGGATCCAACACCCCCTTCTGGCTTCTGTGGGCATTGCATCCATGGGTGCACTTACATGCAGGCAAAACACTCATACAATAAAATAAAAATAAATAAAAAAACCAATTTTTTTAAAGTTTGGTATATTGTCACCTGTAATGTCAGCAAGTTGAAAATGATTGTGTATTGATGAGACACATTATTGATTCCTCCCTTGTGGAATGTTAGGCAAGTGTAAAACTATGATATTCTTATTTTTTCATACATTTTATCCATACCTCATAATGCATAATTTAAAGATTTTCTGTCTGATGCCTTTAATATGAGTTCTCATGATTTCATTTCAGACTGCTGTTCCTGGCTAGTTATCATTTTAAAGGTGTCAGCAAACATTACTCATGATTCATGTGAGTGAACTGCATGATATCCATGACACCCATAATGTGCTGTGGTCAAAATGCTTGTTAGCACATTTGGCCAGATAACGCTGTAATATCCTCCTCCACACTGAATGCTGCACTATAGAGTTCAGTTTGTAAAAATGGAACAGAGTTTGTTTTCTCATCCTTTATTTCTCATAGAGCATGGCAGAGGCGGAGGCCCAAAGTACATACAACAAACAAAAATCTGTCTTTGAGGCTACTACTATCATTTTCTGCTGTTAGATGCACCATGTTTAAGGAGGGGTTCTTGGGTCAGCAAGAGGGTTCAGCCCGTAAGGACACATGCCGTCGAGCTTGACCACCTGAGTTTGACCCCTGGAACCTACATGATGGAAGGAGAAAACCAACTTCTAACCACCACACGTGCATCGTGGTATGTGTGAAAGCAATTTTTTTTTTAAAAAAAGAGTAGGTTTAGTAACAAACTGGATACACAGTGTGTACAAGGCAAAGTGTCAGGTGCTGAGGAAACAACAGACTATTAAAAATAAGCCTTGTAGAGTAGTGGAGACAGAAACAAAACAGATCCTGTCAATATAAGTTTTATTTTTTTTATGTAGGAAAAAAGTTCACCTCAAATGTCTCTTGAGTTTCACACTCATTCAACTACTGTCATGTATCTGGATAGTGCCTGGTGAAAAGGTGAACAGTGTCAAGCTCCTGGAGGACCCACCACACCAGGTTATTGAGGTGGGCTCTATCTGGAGGTAACCAGGAGTGAGATGGATGGGCAGGAACTTAATCTGGCAAGAGAAACAGTCAATTTACATTTGAGCCTGGCCATTCTGACTGCCACTTCCAAGGTGGGTATGGGGCGGGAGGAGTGTTGGTAAGGCTGGAGGCAGGGAGACTGGACTGGCCACAGAAATGCAAGGAAAGGATGAATGAGTTTGAAGGGCTTTATTTTAATTTATCCAGAAATAAAGGTCTAAACCTCAAGTGAGAGAGCAGGAGTAGCAATAGCTTTAGAACTTTAGGATTAAACGGGTTAAAATGATAGGAGTGAATACTGCAACGTGCGGGAGAGACAGGAAAAATTTTTCAGTGTTGCAACTTTGAAAAACACTGTACAAACAGCAGGCAGAGAAAGAGTCCACTATGATTTATGAGTAGAAAAAAAATGAGACCTGCAAAAGATGTTAGGTTCCAAGAAGGGTCTAATCAATTGCATCAGATGCTGAAGTGAGGTCCTAAAAGAAAAACACCGATTAGTAACAATGCTGAAGAAAGTAGCTTCATCTTCTGAGATGGGCAAAAGAGGATCAAATAAATATAAATGGAGAAGCAAGAAGCTCATATTACAAGGTAGCATTTTTCTCATCTACGAGAAGGTACAAGAAATATCTATGCCTGTAGGGAGTCTCTGGTCAAATGAATGGGTGATTGTAGGCAGAGATAAAGGCCAGAAAGACCAACCTTTTGTTTTTACTGATCTCTTTTAAATAAAACAGAACCATTCAGACCTCCGTCATTTACAAAATGAATTTGTTTAAAGTACTAGCTTTCACAGGAATGTTACTTGCATTAGTCTGAGCTACAGTAATCTCATCAAGCATCCCTGTTGTGTCACTCAAAGTCCATTCAGTCCTTAGAGAAAAATCTAAAAGGGGGAATAAAATTAAAATCAGAAAGGTAAAAGGCAAGTTTCAGATGCGTATCAGTGTGTATTAAGTGATCAAGAATACCTTCTGGAGTTCTCTGGTAATCCAATAAAGAAGGGCTGAGATTGGGAGACTGAAGCGGTGCTAAATTTGTGAGAAATAATTAGAAATCATATAACAGGAGACTAATGTTAAATCAAGGAATTGTTAAGAATTGGGGAAAGGTGAAGTTGGAGACTGAGAATCTGTTGTATGCAACTGGACCTTATTTTCTACAGGATGCCCAACTGAACATTTATAGGATGGATTCAGGGTTAAGTTTTGACATGAACCTGGGTGAGAGGCACCAGATACATGGGGCCCACATGCTGATAAATCATGCAGTTTAGGATGGAAAGAGAGGCAAAGGCAGGAAGAGAGACTCGGGGAAAATGAAAGAGCAGGGGGAATACATGCAAGTGTATACAGAGTAGAACACTATGACGCTATCGTCCATCTCACTGCGGATCTACTCATGACTTTTCAACTAAACAATAATACCAAAAAATAGCCTTTCAACAAAAATTGTACTTCAAATTTTGAAGGCTACCAATAAACACTACAGTCCTCCCTCTAGAGGCTGGGCAATGGCATGAAGCCACTACTCCAAGTCAGCCATGTGATCACAAGAGGAAACAACTGATACTCTATAGTACATTGTGCTCCTAGATTGTGATGTTTGTTACAAGTATTAAACAGAAGTGGACTGGAGAGATGGCTCAGAGGTTAAGAGCACTGGCTAACTGTAGGTAACTCCAGTTCCAGGAGATCTGATGCACAAGTTTCTTCAGAGGCAAAACGACAAAGCCTATCCATCCGCTCGCTCCCCCGCCACAGGCTTTAAAGAACTTAAAATGAAATAATGCTTACAAGTATCCAATGCAGAACCTGAATCATAACCAATGCTTAACACTGATTTGTTATTGCTATGCTCGGATTCTATTGAGAACCCTCACGTCCTTTCTCTGTCACCCTCTGAGCTTAACTGAAGTATTCTAAAACTTCCGCCCATTAACCTGAGAAGCGGGTCGCAAAGTTATGAAGACTATCACGACAACTGCCAGACTACTGCCCGGAACTCTACCCCGCGAAATTACGCTCCTCTGTCCTCTGAAATCTGAGTTCCGGTAGGAAGCCAAGTCCATGAACAATGGTTCCGCCAACCTGGAGCGCCAACTCAAGCCTTTTGAGCCTTTCCGGCATCCGGCGCGCAGGAAATGGGCTCGGCGGAAAGGGGCGGGACTTCCAGGCGAAGGCGGCAGGTTTGAAAAATGACAACGGTCGGTGTTTGTTGATTTGTCTGTCTGCCTGTAGCTGATCCAGCAGCTCGCCGGCTTCTCTCCGGAGGCTGGTACCGCAGGTGAGCGCGAGCGGGCGCGGGAGGCTGGGAAGGAGGCGGGGGCTCCGTACGCTGACCCAGGGGCCGGGGGCGGGAGCAGCACCGAGTTTAGCCGCGTTGTCGCCAGAGGTGCTGGGGAGGAGGCCAGGGAAGCCAGCCTGGGGGATGGGGCGAGCCCTGCGCCTGCTCTGCAGATCCCAGTGCACGCATCGATTTGCGTGTGTGTTCGTGTGCGTGTGCTTGTATGTGTGGGCTCTGTGAATGTGTGTGCGCGTGCGTGCGTGTGTGTTGCTTTGAGACCGGGTCTCCTGTATCGCAGGCTGGCCTTGAACTCACTATGTAACTGCCGCTGGTCTTGAAAGCTTAGTCCTACTTCCATCTCCTAAGTCCTGAAATTACAGGCCTGCTCCACAAGAGTGGCAGAGTGACTTGTTTAGTGATGGATGCGTGTCAACTTTCTATGTATCTCCATTGCTCAAATATTTCCTGTTCAAAACCGTGAACCAAGAGGCAGAAATATATTTAATCCAAGTCAGAGAGCTGAGTATGTGTTGGGCAGTACACATGTAACACGACCACCTTCCATAACTTCGGGGAACTTCATCCATCCATCCATCCATCCATCCATCCATCCATCCATCCGAGGAACTTTATTATCTGTCTGTCTATCCATCTTTTATCTATTGTGTGAGTGTTTTGCCTGCATGTACACCACTTGCATGCAGTGCTCACAGAGGCCAGAAGAGGGTGTCAGATCCCCTGGAACTGAAGTTACAGACGGTTGTTAGGCACCATATGGATGCTGGAAACTGAGCTTGGGTCCTCTGCCAGAGCAGCCAGTGCTGTAAACTGCTGAGCCATCCCTCCTGCCCCACCCACCTCGATTTTGAGGAACTTTTGATCTATTTCATTAAAATTGGGAGCCACTTACTTATTAAATTGATTTTATTATTTAATTTCTGCCTCCTGCTGTTGTAAAAAGAGTTGTATAAAATCTACTAGATATTCTTTTCAGCACCTGCTCTGCTCAGCATTGTAGTGTGTTGCAAATAAAAGAGAGAGAGGTAATTAGAGGTAATCTATACAGCTTAAGCTATGAAGTTAGAAGAGCTCTTCATCTTTGTGTACACACACGAAGGAATGAATTGCAAATAAAAGAGAGAGAGGTAATTAGAGGTAATCTATACAGCTTAAGCTATGAAGTTAGAAGAGCTCTTCATCTTTGTGTACACACACGAAGGAATGAATTGAATAGTGGAAAAATTTGGATATAGGGGATTAGTATTGTATAAGTGCAGGTAGAAGCCTGTTGATAGTTTTAGGATGGGAGATGGGCCCTCAGTACTACACAGGTAGGTGTAGAGGGTTTAGAGAAAATGAAACATTGGAAATTTAGGGAGTGACTTGGAGGAGACTAACATGGACCTGGATGTTATTATATTATTCAAAGTCTTAGAAACTCAGCAGAAAAATTTGAAATTTATGTGGTAGGTAGCTGATTGGAGTATTTTTGTTCACATGTTATGTGACATGCTGAAATTTTGTAAGTATTAACCTGACAGGTTGTACACATTAGTGGAGTCGGATATATGATAATTGTGAAGGTATTTTATACCCACTCTTCTGTTGTCATAACTGCTAATCCAGGTGTAGCTTGCTTTAGAAAGTAACCTTTTTGTGATTTTTCTTTTTTATGAACAGTTATTTTTTGGGGGGGTAGGGGTAGCCCCCACTGACCTAGAACTTAATACTTGTTATGTAGACAGGCTGGCCTCAATCTCACAGAGATCTGCCTGCCCCTGCCCCTGCCTCTGCCTCCACCTCTGCTGGGATTAAAGGTGTGCATCACCATGCATGGCCTTATGAGCAACTTTTAAATCTGAGACTTAAGTGAAAAATATAGAAAGCTTATTTACTCTTTTCTTTCTGAAAGTTTGATCATTCAGTCTATGAAATAACCTGACCACAGAATATTGAACAGGGAAAGAAAGCAAGCTAGAATCTAATAGGTGACTGAGCACTGGAGTCTCACACAGAACAAAACTCAAAGGAGCAATTGACAGTTGAAGCTTAGAAAGAGCTTAATGGAGGGATGGGGACTTGGGCTTCAAAGGAAGTGACTGAGGCTTTGGAAGGGTGATGGGAGGAGGAACCCAGCACCTGAGGCTGTCTTGTTATATTGGTGAAGTCTCTTGTAACTGCCAGCTGGAGTAGTCTCTGTCTGGGCCAGGAGTCAGAAACCCAATCTTTTCCTGTGACAAGATCTCTCGTGCAGAAAGGGAACTACCCCATAGGAAAGCCTCTGCCTGCTCCCACTAATGTAGATGTTTGTAAATTTCTTTTTACAAAAAGACTTCTCAGAGCCGATTAGATATTTGTAAATCTCTTTACAAAAAGACTTCTCAGAGTCGTTCCTGTTTCTGCAGTTTCTTGAAATACACCAAATGAATATACTTAGGTTATTTTAATTCCCCACACATTTATACCAAAATAGCTAATATGTGAGATGTTCAAATCAGAATGGTCCTAGCTCTGAAATAAAAGCTTGCTGTTACGAAATTCAGTAGTAGAAAATACAAATCTAGCTTAAAGTTCAAATTATCAGAAGCAGATGAGGAAATCCAGACTGATATAAGTGGGTCCTGGTGAAGCTCTTGGAGTTTCTTTCACATGCATTTCTAGTGAGTGCTATAATTACAGCCTAAATCAGCTGAGGCCATTCCTCACTGTATTGATACTCTGCCTTAGGCTGTCCATATCTGGAGTATTGCATTCATTTTGGATATTATATCTTGTTTTGTTTTGTTGGGGTTTTTTTGTTTGTTCATTTATTTTTGTTTTGTTTTTGAGAGTGTCTCCCTGTAGCCCCAACTAGAATGGAACTTGCTATGTAGACCAGACTGGGCTTGAACGCAAAGAGATCTGCCTGCCTCTGCCTCCTGAATGCTGGGACTAGAGGAGTGCTTTCACCACCACACCAGGCTTGGATATTATATCTTAAGAAGATATTGTTGGACTGGGGAAAGAGCTCAGTTGGTTAAGGCAAGACCTGAGTTCGGGGAGGGGGAAATGGGGACAAAAAAACTGAGTGTTGTAATGCTCACTTAAAATCCCAGCATTGTGGAGGTAAAGACAGGTAGATCTTTGGTGACCAGCCATCCTAGCCTACTTGGTGAGTTCTAGGCCAGTGAGACCCTATTTCAAATAAAAGGGGAGGGGGTGTGCTGCACCTGAAGAACAACATTGAAGATTGCCCTCTGGCTCCACATGCACCCATGCCCACCTTACATGCACACACATGCAAAAAGTAAGATACTGACAAAATAATGCTTAGGGGGTAATAATGTAAGTAGGATGGTATGATATCCTGAAATATACATTTGATCGTTTTGTTCAAAGTTCTTGATATACAGTTCTTAAAGTCTTTGGTATCTTCAAAGTGATAAGTGACATTCTGTATGTTAATGGTTGATTAATGAGGGGGGTCTCAGTTGCTTTAGGATGGGAGTTGGGTCATTTGAAAGACTAAGGCAGTCTTACTGGTTTAGGACATTTGGCCTCATCCCCTAATCTTGGGAAAGGGAGAGACTGAAAGTGGTTCTGGCCACTAATGGCCATTGATAAAACTCAATCATGTCTACAAAATTGAGCTTTTCTAAACCCCCCCAAAGATCGATTTTGAGAAACTCTGGGATAGCCAAACACTTTGTGGTTCCTAGAAGTTGCAAGTCCTTTCCCTCACACTTTGCCCTATTCAACTCTTCATCTGGTGTTCATCCCTTGTAATATCTTTTGTAGTAAACCAGTAAACATAGTATTTCCCCAGCACCTAAGCTTCTCTAACAGATTAATTGAATCCAAGGAGGGCACGGTGAAAACTCCAGTATATAGTAGGTTGATCAGAAGCATAAGTAAAACAGTTTGGGACTTGTGATTAGAAGCTCAGAAGGCGGCAGGGTAGTATTAAATCCTTAACCAGTGTGATCTGACATTGACCAGAGGTGATGTCAGAATTGAATGAGAGGTCACCCTGCTGGGGTCTACTTTCTAATTGCTTGCCTGCTTGCTGCTTGCCAGAAACCACCCCTATCTGGTCATAAATCTGTGCTGGTTTTTGTTGCATGAGTAAGAAAATGTGCATGTTTTTTCCTGTCACAAATGGTAAAGTTTCCAAAACAGTGCCATAAAAGGAGTGGCCATGTGTAAAGATTTCATCTTGAAGAAGAGTAGGTTTAGAAGAGACAGCATGGCTTTCTTCCCATTTTTAATATAGTGGCATATAAACAGGGATTGAGATAATCTATGTAGTTTCAGTGATTAAAAAGGAGGACCAGTAGTGACAGTTACAACATTTCTAAACTGTGAGGAAGAGTCAGCTAATGATTAGAACCATACTAAAGTAGGAAAAATAGACTTGAAAATTAGTGAACTGTGATGTTTTCAAGGATTCAAGCAGAATTAGGAAGCTATTTGTCTTTTAGAATGGCATCCTCCATTTACTGGAGGCTAGGCAAGTTGCCAAAGTTGCTTTTTAACCCTAATATTCTAAGAAACGTTAAGAACCTTTGGAAGTAGATTTCCAAACTTACAAGCTATTAGCTTGTTGGCAAAATTGAGTATGTTCACGATGGGTCTCTGTGTTCACACTGCCTTTCGGAGAGCAGGGAATTTGAACCAGTGTCTGGGTGACTGAGGAGCTTTGGTTGCTAGTGTTGCTTCCCTGTTACTGTTGGTGTCCAGCCACTTAGGGTCCAGAAGAAAAGGAGATAGTCTGGGGTATCTAGGATGGCACAATGTCGGCTTTATAAATATAATCTCAGTACATTTTGACATGTGTTATAAAGTATAAGCTCTAGAACATTGACATTTTGGACTGAATGACTCCAGTAAGAATCCAGCCTATATACTGTGGGGTATTTAGCATAATACCTGGCTTCTTATCCATGGCATTATTTTCCTGACAACTTAAAATGGCTCTAAACATTTCCTTGGGATGTATATGGGAGACTGAATTGTCTAAGGGGACATGGGTAGAAATAATCCATTGTCTGAATATATTAGAGCAAATGGGGTTTTGCTGTTTTGTATGTGTGTGTATGTGTTACTCTCTTACTCTGGTGAAAGGAATCCTGCCAATTAAAGCCTCTCTCTCTCTCTATCTCTCTCTCTATCTCCCTCCCTCCCTCCCTCTCTCTCTCCCCCACTCTTCCTCTCTCCCTTTCCCCTTCCCCCTGTCCCTCCCTCTCCCTCTTTCTCATCTTAAAATCTTATTAGTCCTTGTACTATGTGTCTTCAGTAGGATATCAAATGAGAGTACAATTTTATTTTCTACCTATGTTAGTATTGTTTATATATAGCTTCTGATGATGATGTTGCCTTATAAACTTTGAGAAATAATTCTCAGGATTTTGTTAAATCCTCTAGCCCTCATGTAAAAAGAAATACGTAACTTCCCAAGTACATGTCACCTCACATTCTTCATTTCTTATGGATCAGAACATTAGGAAAATTAGCAAAAAATATCTATTATTTTGAGGTAAAAGTTATTTGGGATAGAATACCCCCCCATTCTTTCTCTGCTCCTCTCCTTTCCCCTCTCTATGCATGTCTAAAACTTACCCCCTTTTTTAAAACAGAGTCTCATGTAGTCCAGACTGGCCTTGAGCTTAATGTATAATTTTCCACCTTGAATTCTGATCTTCCTGCCTCCACCTCTCAAGTGTTTTGATTACTGGTGTGTATCACCACATCTGGTTTAAAGTTCTTTATCTTACTAAGATATTTGATGATAGTTAACACTACTACAAATAATTCAACCTTGGCTTGTTCATTTTGTTCCTGTTTGTCAGTTTCCAGGTAATCAGAGCAATTCATTGTGTGTACTTCTCATCTTGGTTTTCCCTCTGTTGAACTAGGCGGGGACTTTCAAGATGGAAACTTTGTCATTCCCCAGATACAATGCAGCTGAGATTGTGGTTCATATTCGCAATAAGTTATTAACAGGAGCTGATGGCAAAAACCTCTCTAAGAATGATCTTTATCCAAATCCGAAGGTAAACCGTGATTGTGTTTGCATGTAGATACTGATATTTTAGAACAAAGTAAGCTACTAGATTTGCAATGTGGGAAGAAAGGAATATGCCCTCAGATTTGTTGTAGGCAAGTCATTTTTAATCTAGAGAAAAATCTCTCACCTAGTGTAATTTTAAAATAACATTAAGTTTATATGTGGGGCAACTTTTACATTCCCATTGGGCACTCAGTTCTTTAATATGGTTGTTTTCTTTAAAGAAAAAAAGCTTTAAACCACAGATACATTAAAGTATATTAAATTTTTTATTATTGTTGTAGTAGGATGAGACTGTCATTTATTGGTAGGACTTGACAGGACTTATTCCAAGTGGTTTCCAAATACACACACAAACAACACGCACACACATGCTTAGAAACAGTCTTCTTTGGAAGTGTAGAGATTAATTTTCTTGCATTATGCCCCAGATGGGAATTGCCTTGTTTTGACAGATATTATTCTTTATTTGTTTGGTTATTAAATGCAAAAATGGACTATTTATGTGTCACAGAAAAATCCCAACGTCTCTAGTTTCCTGTGGTGGTCTTGAAGGTATAATACAGAAAGACTTGTTTTTCTGGTCTAGCACCAAGACTTGTTTATTTTAGTACCCTTTAATTCTTTAAAATGGAAAGAATGACCCCAAAACCTTTAAGCTGAATAAATTTAGCTTTATGAAAAGATTACCACATTTTTATTATATTTCTCATTTTATTGTCACCCAATAAACTTGTGTATGGAATGGATACTAGGCTAGCATTTGGGAACTACTGATTTCGAAGATAAGGTGTTTTAAATCCTGTTATTACTCCATAGTGTTTATACCACTTAACTTTAAATCGGAGATAAACTTACTAGCTAAAGAAGCAAATAAGGTTTCCCATGATCTTTCTTTAAAGAAAAGAAAAGGAAAAGAATATCTTGAGTGTTCCAACATTCCTCGACATACCTGACAGGGCTCTGAAGGACTCACCCTTCTTCCTCCTTTCCCGGGATAGATGGATTGATTGGATTGGATCCAGATAGACTTGTTCTCATGCTTAAGAAGCTGGTCTCCTTGGCCAGTTACTACCTTTCTACAAATTGACAAATACAAGGTGTCTTAACATTTGGAGACACTGTCAAGTATTTCAAGGGAAATAGGGTGACTTTCTCACGTGGTTCTTTGCATTTGTTTGCTGTAGCCTTGGATGGTGATGATAATTATACAGCACTGTGCATAGCAGAGTAATAGTTGTTTTTCCATTTTAGCCTGAAGTCCTGCACATGATCTACATGCGAGCCTTACAAATAGTATATGGAATACGGCTGGAGCACTTTTACATGGTGAGTTCAAGAGGAAGTAGAAGACTGGTTTTGGTTTTGGCTTTGATTTTATAGCAGTTCTCACAGTGCATGCTGCGTAAATGTAAATAATTTATTTTCAGCAAGTCTAGGGGCTTGTGTAAAATTAATGTCACTGACAAAGGAATTTTAATCCTGATAGTACTTTATATGGGTGCCTTTAGGAAGATGAAAGCTACAGTAAAAGACCTGATTGACACTTAGGAGTTACTGACACAGTGCAGGCAATTCACAGATTGTAGGTTTGTCTGCCAAGTCTTCACAGATGTGCTCTTCTTTTTTTAAAAAGAATTTTAAAAAATTTGTTATTTTTATTTTATGTGTATATGTGTATTGCCTGCATGTGTGTAAGTGCACCTGTGTCGTGCAGTGCCCACAGAGTTCAGAAGAGACTGTCGGATCCCCTGGTACTGGAGTTACGGACAGTTGTTAGGGGCCATGTGTGTACTGGGATTTGAATCCAGGTCTTCTGCAAGAACAGTCAGTGTTTTTTAACTGCTGAGCCATCTCTGTAGCCCCTAGGTGTGCATTTCTTTAGAAGGATTTGAAGACGAGTATAGAAGACAGGCAGTAAGGTCCAAGCAGCTGAAATGAAGCAACTGGGCTTTTAGCAAATTAGATATTTCTAGTCAGAAAGACCATTTTTTAAATTATGGTTTGTTATGAAATCATCAGGGCATCATCTGAAAATGTACTGAAAATATAATGTCTTTGGAATCTCATCAATATTTTTTTTTGTTTTCTCTTAGCCTAAGCCGGCCTTGATGTCACAATCTTCCTGTGTGCTTAGATTACGGACATGTACCACTACTCTTACCTTATGATTATATATATATATACATATATACTTTTTTTTTGTCTTTTTTTGAGACGGGTCTCCCTGTAGCCCCAGCTGCCCTGGAACTCACTCCCAGCTGGTCTAGAACTTGCTATGTGGACCTGGCTGGCCTCGAACTCACAGAGATCTGCCTGCCCCTGCCTCCTAAGTGCTGGGACTATAGGCATGCACTACCATACCCAGCTTGATTACATATTTTTTTAAGGTCAAAGGCTGTGCCATCTGTTTACCGTGAAACTTTGCAAAGGTTTAGTTTCTTTATAAAATGAAAATGGCCTCAGAGTTCAAGCCCATCCTGATCTCCATAGGAATATCCAGTCCAACCAAAACTGCATAGTGAGACCATATCTCAAAAAATGAAAACAAACAAAAAGTTAGGGTAACCCTTTGAAGAGGGTTATGAAAATGCAAAGAGAACAATAAATGTAAAATGCCTAGCACAGTGCCTGATACTCATTTAAAAATCATTAAATGCCCACTGGGAACCTAGCATCATTAGTATCACTGTCACCACTGGCCTTGCACAGGGAGTCATATTATTTTTCAGATTTAATGTTAATAAATTAATATAATTTGATCATATCCTATGATTAAGGTTTCTTATGGTTGAAGATTTTCTTCTTTGTTTAATTAATATGTAATTTGGATTTCATGATTTATTTCACTTAGATGCCAGTGAATACTGAAGTCATGTATCCGCATATAATGGAGGGCTTTTTACCAGTCAGCAATCTGTTCTTTCACTTGTGAGTAAATTGATTTTATTTCCATCTACATTAAATTAGGCTGTCTTAATGATATGGTATTCTCTGTGAAGGAACATCTCTCACTCTCTCTCTACTTTATCCCATATATATTCAAAATGATGGGTTTCTACAAACAGAACAACCTCCCCATCTGACACTTCTCAAGGGGCTTTCAATGAAGTGTTAAGATGCTATAACCCTGAATTCTTCTGCTAGCTTTGTGGAGGGCTTTGAGTTCTTAAAGGGTCTTAGTATCACCAAGAATATATGCTGATAATTAGATTCCGTAACTGCCTTGACACTGCAGGAATATCAGTATGATATCAGAAAAAATACGCACTATGTGAGTACTACCAGTATCCAAAACAAAATCAGTCGGCTTCAGTGCTGTAGAGTTAGGCGCTGTAGAAGCCTTTAGCATTGAGAAATCGCTTTGAAAATAAGATGTTTGTGTCCATTGGCTTGGTATCTAATTTATACTACACTTCAATATTCTTTCTCTTTATTTTCAAGGGACACTTTTATGCCCATTTGCCGGGTGAATGACTTTGAGATTGCTGATCTTCTGTATCCAAGTAAGTACAAATTTTAAACAATGTTAATAGTCATTAAATCTACCATTTTACCTTTTTGTCAATAAATATATTAAAGAAATTAGAAGGAAAGCTATTTTAGAAAGTGGAAAATTTGACCTTGGTAGAGCAACAGAAAACTGTTTTTTTTATTTTTCTTTTTTAAAAAATATTTTATTATTTTTATTTTATGTGTATAAGTGTATTGCCTGCATGTATGTGAGTGCACCCGTGTCATGCAATACTGCAGAGGTCAGAAGAGAGCTTCAGATACCCCTGGAACTGGAGTTCAGGACAGTTCGTAGCCACCATGTGGGTGCTGGGAATCGAGCCTAGGTCCTCTGCAAGAGCAGTCAGTGCTCCTAACCGCTGGGCCATCTCTCCAGCCCCTGGACTGAATTTTCTTAATGCTTCATATTTTTAAAATGTTATTCAAATTTGGGATAAGAGTCCCACAAACATGGTGAATGCTCCAGAGGTTTGCACTTACTATGAGAAATGCCTCAGACATCCACCCCACAAACAGACACAGGACAAGACGGACAGGGATTCTCTGTATGCCCAGGGAAAGTAGCGTTAGGACAGGGAGCAGAGTGGCAGCAGTGGGCAGACATGGTACAGAGGCTTGAGTGTGTGGAGCCCAGCTGCTGATCTGAGAGAGGCCATTAAGAGATTCGAGCATTGTGGACTGGGAAGAGATAAGAAGAGAAAGCGCCATGTGATCCAGTTCTAAGCCAGTTTTGTTATGAAGACAATAATCATTTCTCTTAAATAAAATTTTAAAAATTGAGAGTACAGATATAAATAATATGCAAGTATGATGCTGCATAGTGGGTTAATCATACCAAATTTATCATTAATAATTACTTTTTTTAAACATGAAAAAATCATATTGTAGCATTGGGAATAGCTCTGATACTACAATAAGATGTGAATTCTAGCCAGTATAAATGCCTTGTATTCATTTGATTCTGAATTACCCCTCAAGTGATTTTATGTTGAAAGAGATTTGGTACCCTGTTTAAAATGCCTTTTATCCTCTTTTGGTTCTCTTTTTTTAATCTTGTTTTTTTTAAATGTTTTTTTATTTATTATTGTTATTTTACGTGTATGAGTGTGTTGCCTGCCTGTATGTGAGTGCACCCGTGTCGTGCAATGCCGCAGAATTCAGAAGAGGGCTTCGGATTCCCCTGGAACTGGAGTTAAGGACGGTTCGTAGCCACCATGTGTGTGCTGGGAATCAAACCAGGGTCCTCTTCAAGAGCAGTCAGTGTTTTTATGGATATGACTTACACATAATAAAAATCGCCAATTTTATATGTTAACTGGGTGAGTTTTAACAAATGTATATGGTTGTATAACCAACCAGTGCAGTAATTGTGCATAACATTTCTGTGACCCATCGAAGTTCCTCATGTTCCTTTGTAGTCCAGTCCCCTGTGGTCACTCCCTTTCCCCTGACAATGCTGATGTGTCTGCTGTCACTGCAGTTTTGACTTGTCACAGAATTTCATACAATGTAGTCACATAGTTCATAGCCTTTCTGTCTGACTTCAAGCAGGAGTTTATCCATGCTAATTGTATTTATTAGTCTTTTAGTTGCTGTTGTTTAGGAGTATCCTCTTGTAAGTATGTAGCACAATTTGTATCCATTGACCAGTTAATAGACATTTGAATTATTTCTAATGTTTAGAAAATTATAGGCAAAGCAGTTGTACATTCATATTTATAACTCTTTGTGTCAAAATTTTGTTTCTATGAGCAAATACTGAAGATTAGAAATGCTGCTTCATGTGCTAAGTTCATGCCCATTTTTTTTTTCCTCTCTTTTTTTTTTTTTGAGACAGGGTCTCCCTGTAGCCCCAGCTGACCTGGAACTTAACTATGTAGACCAGGCTGGCCTTGAACTCACAGAGCCTCCTACCTCTGCCTCCCAAGTGCTGGGACTAAAGGCATGTGCCACCACGCCTAATTTTTTAAGAAGTTGCCAAACTGCTATCCAACATGGCTCTGTTACCACCAGCAGTATCTGATAGTTTCCGTTGCACTATGTCCACCTGGTTTTGGTAGTATATGTAGTATATGTTTTTGAGTTTTGTCATTCTAGAAGATACGTAGTGGTTTTAATTTGCCTTTCCCTGATGACTAATGAAACAGCATACTTTTCATATGCTTGTTTCCTATGACATAGCTTCTTGGGTGAAGTTCTTTTCCCAAACTATTTGTCTTTATTTTTTGTTTGTTTTGTTTTTTGAGATGGGATATTCTTGTAGGCTGAGCTGACCTGGAACTCACTGTGTAGACCAGGCTGGCCTCAATCTCATAGAGATCCACCTGCTTCTGCCTCTTGACTGCTGGGATTCAGGGTGTGCACCATGATGCCAGGCTATATGTCTGTTTTTTAAATTTGTATTTATCTTACCGAATTGTCAGCTTTCTGCAGATACTTGGCAAGTGCATTACTGACTGGCTATGCAGATACTTCCTTCTGTTTCGGTTACTTGCCTTTTCACTTTTGTAACTTTTTTTATAAAGTAAAATAAATTTCAACTTTGAATATTCCAACTGAATTTTTAAAATACATTTTGTTTATACTACTAAGAAATCGTGGCTTCATTTAAGGTGTCAAGATCTGCCTCTCTGAGGTTTGGTTCCTGAGTATTATCATTTAGCTTTTATTGTTTAATGCTCTCGGTATTGCATATGGTGTAAGTCAAGATTTAGACCCTTCGTTTTGCATAGAGGTGTCATTATTCTCGTACCACTTGTTGAGGCCTTTCCCTGATGAATCACCTTGACACTTTTTGTCAAAAATCAATTGACATGCCACCACATAGCTATTAAATCACGAAAATCCAAAGCAGTGACAGTCTCAAGTGGTGAGAACGTGGGGCCCCAGGTACTCTTATTCTTTGCTGGTGGCAGTGCATAGGGGCACAGCTTGGCATTTTCTTACAAATTTAAACATATTCTTACCATAGGATCCAGCAATCATGCTCCTTAGCATCCACCCAAAGGAACTGAAAACTAGGTTCACACAAAACCACACACACAAGCAGTTTGTAGCAGCTTTGTTCACAATTACTAAATCTTGGACACAATCAACATGTTCAGTGGATCTGTAAATAACTGTAGTACATCCAGACAAAAGAATACTGTTCAGTGCTGAAGGGAAATGAGCTATTAAGCCACGAGAAAGTACAGAAGAATTATAACTGCATATTATGAAGTAAAAGGAGCCAGACTGAAAAGGCTTCGTAACCATGTGACATGCAAAGGATGAAACTATGGAGAAGGTAAACAGTAAAATACAGTAAAATAAAATTGTGATTGCCCAGGCTTAATGGACAAAGAGGAGGAATTAGCTAGAGCCCAAAGGATTTCTAGGACAGCAGAGCTTCTGTTACCTTGCTGTACTGGTGGTGGATGCATACCTTATGCAGTTGTCCAAATCCCATAGAAACAGCAACAAGAGCATAGTCTGAGTGGTAGCAATGTGTCAGTGCAGGTTCATCATTTATAACAAAAGTGACCACTCACATGGAAGTTGGGAGAGTTGGCTGTACTTGTCTGGAGAGGTGAGGTGTATGAGAACTGTGTAATTCTTACTCAGGTTTTTATGTGAATGTAAAACTTCTGAAAAAGATGTATCTAAAAAAAATCAGTTGGTCCTATTTCTGGCTTGCTATTCTCTAGAATGTAGTTTAATTCTTGTATGTGTGAATATCCAGTTTTCCTAGCACCCTTGATGTCGATATCTAGTATATCGAGTATACCCTCTTGTAGTAAAACTTGAAATCAGGTGAATGACGTGATGTCATTCAACCACATTTTCTTTATTCATTTATCTGTTGATGTTCATCTAGGCTAGTTCTTTTTTCTTTCTTTTTATTGAGCTTTTAAAATTTCAGACAATATTTCCCACTCATATCCAGACTCTCCCTTCCCCATCCATGCCTCCCCCCACCAAATCCTATGCACTCTGCCATACATGCTTAGTCCTGTTCATTCAGGCTTTTGTACCCAAATGTCCTTCGGTGCAAATGCGCCCGCTGGAGTCTAGTCAGCCCATCCAGTGGTCGTATGCAAGTCATGCTCACCGTCACCCAGCAGCAACCAGTCTCAAATAGTTCTTGATCTAGTGCTGACCCGCCACCTGTTTCTCACCTCCCCTTTGGACCCTAGTTTGATTGAGCTGACATGGGTCATGTGTTGGATGCCACTGCTGCCGCAGGCACACATTAGCAAGCCTCCATTGGCCTGGAAGCCTCCACCTCATTCGTTCATGAACCAGCCCTGGCTCTTACAGTCTTACCGCCTCCTCTTCTGCTGTAAGAGAGGTCTCTTCTATCTCACACTGCATTCCCTTCCAAGCAGTTCCTAGGTATACATATGCATTAATGTTCAGACACTACATGCATTTCTCATAGGGTTTCTAGGGCATCACTTTCCCCTCTACATTTCCTAGCCCCCTGGGATTCACTCATCTCTACTCTTTTTCTGCCATCTGGCCTCCCTCACTTCCCAGTATCAGTGCCCCCACCATTCCCACCCTTCCCCCAGTACCTCCCAACTCCCATCATCCTTCTGTTCCCAATTTCCCTTGCTCCCGACACTATGGACCCTTACATGTCCCTGCCAATTACTCACAGTTTTTCAACCTCCCTCAGATAACATCTGTTCCCTACTATCCCCCTTTCAGGTTGTTTCTTTTCCTTTACCTTCATGTATCCTTTGCCTTTACCTGGCTCCTGGTGTTACATCAGAATTTATATGCTCACATATAAGGAATTGGTGTTGTAATCCACAAATGAGGGAAAACATACTTCACTTGCTTTTCTGCGTTTGTGTTACTTAGTATAACACTCTAGCTCCATCCATTTACCTGCAAATTTCATAATTTCATCTTTTCTAACTGCTGAGTAGAACTCTATTGAGTAGATGTACCACATTTTCATTAACCATCTGTCAGTTGAGGGACATTTAGGCGGTTTCCATTTCTT